GAATGACCGAGCTCCTCACCCTGTCTCTAAGGGAGAGCCCAGCCACCCTGCGGAGGAAGCTCATTTCAGCCGCTTGTATCCGGGATCTCGTTCTTTCGGTCATGATCCAAATTTCATGACCATAGGTGAGGGTAGGAACGTAGACCGAACGGTAAATTGAGAGCTTTGCCTTTTTGCTCAGTTCTCTCTTGGAAGGATGCTTTTTAATGATATTCTTTTTTGTGTCTACTAGGTAACCTATCCAGGGTAGGAAATTAGCTCCAGACTGCTGTGCTGAATACATGAATCCTTATGGATCTCATTACATTATCAGGTATGAAACAGGAGAATCAGTAATCATGCGTGATAACTGATTCTCTTTGAGAAAGGGAAAGGAGAAGTGGCGAGTGAGGGTCTGTGTGGAGGCAGAGAATCAAGTGGCTGAAGTGAGGACTGTGAGAAGCTGAGAAGACTAAACAGCAGCAGATACCGGCTGGGGCAAGAGTTGGCAGGCACAGAGTAAAGGGCTGGTTATATACCTGGAGCAGTGTGTCGCAGTGAGCTTGCCGCAGGTATGACGCAGATATTTTTGATTTATTCCCAATTTTGAAGCGTGGTCTTTGTTATTCCACACCACAACACAAGAGGGACAATCACAAACTAACTGTGGGTCTAGATACGGCCGAGGTGGTGAGGAAGTGGAAAAATGCAAGTAGTAAATTTGTGCGAAAAGAGAGGGGCATGAGGTCGAAAAAGAGCAGGGATCCAGGTGGAAAAAGGGTCCCAGCGTTCTTGCGCACCTCGCTCTTCTAGCTGGTTCGTCTTCAGTCGTTATCCCCAATGGCGGTCATACAAACAGAACAAGCCGGTAAGGTACCAGCTAGTAGAATGAAGCAGAATGATGAAGAAGGGGTCTCTATGTCCTCCAACAGTCTAAGTCTATAGCAGCATAACTATAGAGATAGTTCAGGATAACCTGAGCCACTCTAACTATAAGCTTTATCAAAAGGAAAGCTACAAGGCTAACCTTAAAAGTAGACAG